TGGGGCCTTTATAGGCCCAGGTGGTCCCGCCCTCCTCCTCCTCCTCATTATTTGACCAGAGGTAGAAATCTTACCAATTATTAACTACTAACGGCTATCTAGTGCCAGACCCATATAGGCATGGGTCCAGGTTATCTGATCATCAAGAGAAACTCTTCTCACTGTCCCTCATGCTTGTTTGGTAGGAACAAGGGAGAGGGCTTTCTCAGTGGGCTGCTCCCAGAGAGGTCAGGATGGCCCAACCCTGCTCTCTTTTTGGTGGCAGGTAAAAACATTTTTGTGCCAACAGGTTTTTTTCATATTGATCAGGTTTTTGGGGTTGGGCCATTAAATGCTGTGCAATTCAGATTTTAAAGTTTATATAGATTTTTAAAAAATTTTTTTCTAATTTAATGTTTAATTTTTTAACTTTCTAAATTGTTTAATAGTTTTCTAAATATTATATTTATGCCTTTAATGTTTTTGTATTGTTTTTAATTTATATCATTTTAAATTTGCTGTGAGCTGTCTTGAGTACCTATATCGGGTAAAAGGCAGAATATAAAATATTAATAAAATAAAGAATAATAATGCCTAATTAACAGTTGCAAAGGCAGAAATGTAGAAAGAAGAAGTGAGAAGTGCAAAAGAGATTTCCTTTACAACTGCTGGTTTCCCCATCCTTGTGGAGTAACTAGCATGTGATCATCCCATTTGATGGAAAAGGAAGGGAGGTATATTCTATGTTGCTGACACCATGTGATACCATGTTCATATTAAAAAGATTCAGTTTCTCTTATCTGGAATTCCCAAATCCTCCAAAAACCAAAACTTTTTGCATGGGTCACTGAAATAGTGACACCTTTGCTTTCTGATGGTTTGGTTTATGCAAGGTTGGTTTCATGCAAAAAAATATTAAAAGCATTGTATAAAATTAATTCTTGTCTATGAGTATAAGGTGTATGTGAAACATAAATGAAACATAAATCTCATTATGTTTGTTGTTGTTAGCTGCCATCAAGTCAACCTTGACACATGATGACCCTGTGCATGAGACATCTCCAAGCCCCTCCCCCCATCTTCCTCTGTTCTGCTTAGGTCTTGTAGATACAGATCCATGACCTCCCTGATTGAGTCTATTCATCTGTTATGTGGTCTTCCTCTCTTTCTGCTGCCATCTAACTTTCCTAGCATTATTTTATTTTCAGATGATTGATGTGGCTCATGATGTGGCTAAAGTATATACATATATATAAATACAGGTATTCCAAAATAAATAAAAAATCCAAAATCCAGCAAGGACTAGTGGGTTGAGGGTTGAACTGCAACTCTGGAGACCAGGGTTCAATTCCCAGCTTAGCCATGAAACCCATTGGGTGACTTTGGGCAAGTCACATGCTTTCAGCCTCAGGGAAAGGCAATAGCAAACCTCTTTTGGACAAATTTTGTCAAGAAAACCCCATGATAGGTTCACCTTAGGATTGCCATAAATTGGAAACAACCTGAAGGCACATAGCACACACCCAAGCATTTTGAATAAGGGAGTCTCAATATGGAATCACATTCTTAGCCTATGTGAATTAGTTTTAGTGGTTTCTTTAAACTATAGCAACATCATGGTTCTTGAAAGCGTTCCATTCCACTGGCCTCTTGAGTACTTTTACAATTGTATTTATTGGTTATTTATTCCAACTGTGGCTAATCCCTTATGAAAAAATCTTGCCAAGAAAAACTTGTGGTAGGTTTTCCTTAAGGTTACCATAAGTCAGAAATTACTTGTAGTTACACAGCAACAAGTGGAATTTATATCCCACCTTCCATCCATTGAGCACAGTATACATGGTTATCTTGCCTCTCACTTTATCTTTACAACATCCCGGCAAGTGAGAATGGACCACTGGACCAAGGTCAGCCAGTGAACTTCAGGAATCAGTGAGGATTAGAACCTGGATCTCCCAAATCCCAATCCAGCATTTCAGCTGTTAGACCACACTTGTGCTCCACCATCAGTCCACATGCCATGGCCTGCTTTTGCAACTGTGGAAATGAAGTTTTTAAAATCTAATTTAATTAATTCTGTAAGCAACTGTCAAAGGGATTCATGGTGTAGGAAACCAATCCAAAGCATGCAATTTCTGCCATGCAAAGGTGGAATTAATCTTCTTTACTTTCCCTTTGTGAGGTCTTTTGGCTACGCCAGGAAAGATGGCTTTCTCATTTGTGTTCCTTTTGAACAGAGTAGAAATATGCTTTCACTTCCATTTTTTGTTTATGAAAACTGCACGAGCTTAAACAAGGAAAGAACAGAGTAAAAACACTGATAGCTTTGAACATTGATATAGCTAATAAAGAAATAAATATGGGGATAGATGGGGCTGAAATAACAGTGATCTTAAGTGTTTCTCTAGTTACCATAGTACTAAGTGATATGCAAAAGGAAGTCTATTCTTATCACATACTGCCACTACAGTATTGAAACACAAATATACATAGCATTGACTCACTGTTAATCTGCTCCATGCACTCAGTCAATTATATTAAGACATACAACAAGCTGTATTCCTGCATAGGTAACCAATAAAAGCAGTAGTAAATTTCGTTTGACTGCTGTTTCCTCAGCCATATACTTTGTACAAGAATATGCTTGGTTGCTTGTGCACGCCACACTGCTGCTACTGTTTAACATTAATTCAGCATGCCATCCATTAAGCAATTTTTAAAAATAGTTTTGGTTTAATTGTAGATTTAACTGGAAACCGAGTAGATCTGCACTTATACGAGCTCCCAGCAGGGAGTTAAATAATGCATTCTGAGTTTTACAGATGAACAAATTTCAGATAAATAGCATTTAACTAAAAATCCTGACCCATTTTGTGGGATAGTAATTGATACATTCAGTGCAGAAATCCCAATGAGATATTGCTT